CGGGCTCCCTGCCACCCAAAGCCGTCGCCCCGGGGCCCTGAACCCTGTGCCTGGGCTCGTTACCCAATTAGTCCTAATTACCCCCACGTGCAAGGCGCTGTGGGAGCCCTGTGAGGCCAGGAAAGGTCCCCTGGGGGGAGGAAGGGAACCCCAGTGCAGGGTGGGGGGGTCATGAGCTGCCCCGTTCTCTGCTGCAGGCCTTGGCATGCTGGGGCTCAGCAGCTGCCAGTGTGGGTGTGATGAGCTGTCCCGTTCTCTGCTGTGGGCTGGGGAGGGGTCCTCTGCGGTGGGCAAGGGCCAGGACAGCAGGGGGCTGGGGGTGATACTGGGAACAGGGCAGGGGGTGCAGCCTGGGGGACAGGGACACTGGGGGTAGACAGACAGATGGACGGGGGCATGGTTGGATCGAAGGGTAAACGGAGGGAGGGAGGGAGGGAGGGACAGACAGAGGGTTAAGTGGATGGGTAGGTGGATGAATGGATGGACAGAAGGATGGACAGGCAGGTGGATAAGTGGACGGATGGATGGGTATGGATGAATGCCTGGATGGAAGGATGGATGGATGGATGGACAGATATGTGGATGGGTGGGTGTGTGGTCAAGTGGATGAGTGGGTGGGCGGATGGACGGATAAGTGGCTGGGCAGATGGATGGGTCGATTGGTGGTTGAATAGGTGGGCGGGTGGATGAATGGATGGATGTGCAAGTGCGGGTGGGTGCCTGGATGGACAGACAGATGGCTGGATGGATGGTACATGCATGGATGGGTGCATGGCTGGGTGAACAGACGAATGGCAGGACGGATGGATGGTATGTGCATGGACGGGTGCTTGGCTGGGTGGACAGATGGGTGGATGAATGGATGGATGGTACGTGCATGGTTGAGTGGACGGATGGTAGACGAACGGATGGATGGTATGTGCATGGCTGGGTGCATGGATGGATGGCAAGATGGATGGATGGTAAGTGCATGGACAGGTGAATGGCCGGGTGGACAGATGGATGGCAGGATGGTTGGAGGGTACGTGCATGGACAGGTGCATGGACAGATGGATGGTACATGCATGGCTGGGTGCATGGCTGGAGGGCAGGGCAGATGGATGGTACGTGCATGGCCAGATGGATGGCAGGATGGATGGAGGGTACATGCATGGCCGGGTGCATGGCTGGAGGGCAGGGCGGACGGATGGTATGTGCATGGATGGGTGAGCGGCCAGGTGAACAGATGGATGGCAGGATGGATGGAGGGTACGTGCATGGACGGGTGCATGGCCAGGTGGATGGTACGTGCATGGCTGGGTGGACGGATGGGTGGATGGGCGGATGGTACGTGCATGGCTGGGTGGGTGGCCAGAGGGCAGGGTGGACGGATGGTACGCGCGTGGGTGGGTGAGCGGCCAGGTGAACAGATAGATGGCAGGATGGATGGATGGTACGTGCGTGGCCAGGTGGCCGGCTGGGTGGCTGGGCGGACCCATGGTACACGCGTGGCCGGGTGCGTGGCCGGGTGGAGGGTACATGCATGGCTGGGTGGACGGATGGTACGCGCATGGGTGGGTGAGCGGCCAGGTGAACAGATGGATGGCAGGATGGATGGAGGGTACGTGCGTGGCCGGGTGCATGGCCAGGTGGATGGTACGTGCATGGCTGGGTGGACGGATGGGTGGATGGGCGGATGGTACGTGCATGGCTGGGTGGGTGGCCAGAGGGCAGGGTGGACGGATGGTACGCGCGTGGGTGGGTGAGCGGCCAGGTGAACAGATAGATGGCAGGATGGATGGATGGTACGTGCGTGGCCAGGTGGCCGGCTGGGTGGCTGGGCGGACCCATGGTACACGCGTGGCCGGGTGCGTGGCCGGGTGGAGGGTACATGCATGGCTGGGTGGACGGATGGTACGCGCATGGGTGGGTGAGCGGCCAGGTGAACAGATGGATGGCAGGATGGATGGAGGGTACGTGCGTGGCCGGGTGCATGGACAGACGGCAGGCCGGAGGG